TTTTTTTTTTTTTTTTAAATTAAACACTATACAGATTTGCATCGAAGCGCTTTTTATGATAGTGATTTTAATCACTGTCAGATATCATCTATACTGAACCCAATTATGCCACGACCCCACTGTGCTGGGTTTTTTTTTTTAATTAAAAGATTAAAAATTGTATTATTTTTTATTATAAATGCCAAGATTGGGAGTATTATTTTTATTTATAAAATGTATAGAAACACTTAATTTTATAAATAATACATAAAACTACTAAAACATTTTTTATTTATAATTTTTTTCATAAGACCCATTGGTGTCAATTCGAATAACATTTTTGAAGATGTTAATTGTATTTGTTCCCTGGCCTAAAAGACACTATACATGTATATGACAATATACATCATTTTTTTTAGTTTTTTTAGGGCTAATTTGTTAACTGAGAGGACTTAGCTTCTTGTTGCATCTATAGATACCTCCGAAAAAAGCGCGACTTCCTTGCCAAAGACCCTTGTCTATCCCTTTAATTATGGGTTTGTTGAGCGAATAGTAAAATTTAAAATTTAAAAAAATATTTTGCTCTCCTGTGAAAAACTTTTGTAGATGCCCTTGCTTAATAGAGACACTAAACTTATACTTACATTGGTTTTCATCGATTTTATTTTCTTCAGTATGATTTGCTTCAGTATCTAGCAATGTGTCTCGATAAAATTTTAATTGGGGTGGTTTTTCTTCTACTTTTTGAAACTCGTCTATTTGCATGGGTTCTTGTTTTACAACCTCGTTAGAAACTATCAACTCTGTTGGCGCTGGTGTAACATACAACGAAGGTGAAGAATTTTCTGCATAATTGTGTGGTTCATCAGAAACCGACACGTTTAAAGTTTGAGATGCAAGAGATTCTATATCAAGATTTGATGGCGAACTCAAAGGAGACGGCGTAGAAACATTTTCTGATTTCATTGTTGGAGATAAAGGTCCTTGAGACTGATCTTCAAGTTTCTTAACAACTTCTGGTTTGGGCTTCCGTTTCTTAAGAATTTTGGGAGCAGAATTGAGAACATTTAACATAGCGTCCATGAATAAACCACTTTCCTTAATATTAGCTGAAAATTATAAAAACATTAATTAATTTTATAACGTTACATGATATAGAAATCGCACATTTAATAAATAGTATCTAAATATAATAGGTTGATTCGTGCAAGACAAAATTAGGGTCAATAATAAAATAATAAGTTTAATAAATTATAACGAAAAAAACGATACATTTTAGAACTAAATGGCACAGAACAATGGTCAGAATATGTAATGACATGCATCGTATTTAACAAGTTTTTTCACCAATTCCATATGGGCTTCGAGTAAATGGAAGTATGAATGTTTTTTTCCATACAACTTATTACTTTATTTGGCTTACTAATAATATTAGATATAGAAAAATAAGGATGAAAAAAATATTAAGGCAAATTAATGAATTTTATTTATAAAATTTAAATATACACTACAAATACAAATTAATACTATTTTCTAATTATATACATTTTACTTATATCTAAGTTCAATTTTATAAAAGATAAAATTGCGTGATATAATCCTGGACAACAGAGAACAATAGAATACAATTTATGGGATCGCTAAATTGATTTTTCTTCAACCCTAAAAATATTTTGACAATGTGTATAACTTTTTCAAGAAAAAAATGTTGGGGGATTAAGCTCTCATCTTAGTTGCACCTATTATTTAGGCGTACAGACATTACCCTAAAAATTTTTTATATCATTCAAGGACGAAATGTCCATACACCAAAAAAGGTGTTATAAGGATTGATTTTAAGACTAGTATTATATTCAAAATTATCGACAATTATTAAGCCGAAGACTTATTTTTTCCTTAAATGGCGGACTTCAACTTGTAACGTTGCTGTAAAAAAATACGAAAAGTTAAATTATCGATTCGGGATTTTTGCTTAGGGGTCCTTGTCGAATTTTAGAACCACCGGTAGACAAGTGGTATAAAAAGTACTCTTAAATATTATCATATAAATTATTCAAACGTAAAGAATTTTCTTTGGAATTGTCGAAACCCCCATTACTGTAAAAAAATAATATACAGATGACCCCAATAGATTACATAACACAAAACCATATTAAAAGGATTGTTGGAAGAGACTGTCACATCCTAAGATGGGTCGTTTTGAAAAATATTAATATTCGCTTTTAAAATTGAGATTGAAAAAAAAATATCGAATTAAATGTTAACAATTTAGATAAATAAAAACAATAATTAAATAATTCAGTTTTTATAAATTATTCGTGTTATCTTAAAAATGATCCTTATTGATGTACCTAGAATCCGACAACGAATTATATTACTAGGATTCAACATTTATTTATTTAGAGTAATTTTGTGAAGTAAACTCGATCTAATACACAAAAAAAAAATAAATAAAATCGAGTATTTTTGTTAAATATGTAGGGTGCAATTTAACTTTTAAATAAAAGACTTGACCTGAAAATCAATATTTAAAAGTTAATATATTATTAACTCTCCATCAATAAAATTATGTATTGTAGCAATAGCATTGGATTTTCAAAATTTAAATTTATGTTAGTCTTTGTGGACTAAATTGAAATATTTTAAATGACTCCCGAAGAAAATTTAAATTGACTTGCACCAATTATGTTCCAACCCCCACATATATTTTCGATTAAGTATTTATCAGGAACATTCTTTTTGTATTAAGTGTACTGTTTTTAACAAAATACGTATTTCATTAGTTTATGAATAAGAAAACGATTTGATTATGAAAAATAAATCGTTTGAATCATTATTTCGTTAATTAGCAACACCCAAAAATATAGACCAAGGGTAGCGCGTGAGTACTACTAATAGCGTAGCCAGAACTTATAATAGGGGGTGGCATAGTCAAAAAGTTTTCTTACTAAATCACCAACATCGACTTCTTTCTTATGATTTTATTATAGAAATAATTAATCAGAATTAAGGGGGCGCATCTCGAATTTTACTAGCCTAGTCAAGATTAGTGTTTTTCTGGTTTTTTTTTTTTGGTTATCACTTTTTTGTAGTAGCAATATTTTCCATAGGGGCCCATATAGGTCTTAATCCGGTCCTGCAATTAATATAAACCTTTCATCCAACAAGCTAAGCCACGAGTAGAAACTATTTTTATTATTAGTTATTGCTGAACTGCATATTTGCTCACATTTTAACATAAAAAAACTTGTATTTTCTGAAATAATGATTCAAAATTATCAATTTTTTTAAAATTACTTATTACCATCACAAAAGATTAATATTCGAACAATCAATAAATCATATAAGCAATATCAATCAACACCAATAGTTCTTAGTTCTTTAAAATGTGTCTGATTTTTTAAAATTTTAAATCAATCAAATAATTCTAGGAACACAATTTTATACAGATTTTGTAAGAGAATTTCATTAAACATTAATTAATTATTTACGAGTTATAAAAAATAGAAAAAGCATATATTTGATTATTTTTAAGCTTAAAGATAAAATAAACATGGGAACGAACGTTTGCTTTAGAGTAGAGAACTTGTTTTCGTTTACTTAAAAATGACACCTACTTTTAGGTATTAGTAATAATATCAATGATTATACATTTATATTAATCAAAAATTTGAATTAGACCTATTAGTAAGAACAAGTATAACACTTTCAATTTTACTGAAAGATATGTGACCCAGGATATCTTCCCACAAGATTTGATGGTTTTTATAGATTTTAATTCGGTCAAACTCGTATAGTGGTTTCTTATAATGCGTAGCTCGGCGAACCTTGAACTAACAACACTAGATAAATAGACATCAGCCAAAATTGTTCATAGTGCACTACGCTAGTTACTATGCAGTGTTGCGATTGAAAATTCGCTAAGTCATGCGTTATAATTAACCATCAGCTTGAAATTTAAAAAGTTTTTTTTTTGTTAAAATTTCAAGAGGATCAATCAAAGTTTCAAATTAAATAGTTTTTGTAGAAAACAGCTCTTGTGTAATCTATTTTAATTGTTTACTTTAAAATATTTATACATGTAAAATATCAATATTTGCCATAAGAAAATGCATATATATAGGAAACCAAGTTTAAAATTTAATTATAAACGATATTAATATGTAGGCGTATCAGATTTAAATATTTTATTGGTTTTGAGTAATTATATAAATGTTTTGATATTAATAATTTTTTTGCTATTTTAATTTACTATTAAAAATTAAATTTGCACAATAACCTAAACCTGAATAATGTAAGTCGTTTTAACAGAAACACACTTAGGGAACTAAATAAATGAGAATATATTAGGACAGCTTATTTAATTTTGATAAGCCTATCGTCTCAACAAAATAAAATGAAATTAGAAATTGCTACTTATTTATTTTTAAGCAACATACATGCTATTGGGTTTATTTCGATAATTTCATTAATAAAAAAAATTTACATATACAATAACTTATTTTTTAATATACGCGCTGTTGAAACGATTGTTATTGAAGACACTTAAGTCTCCATATTTTTTGGGACATTTATTATTAAAAAATTATAAAAGTTCTTATGTTGACAATACTCAGAAAAATTAATTAAGTAACTAATCACTTTCTAGTGTGGAAATAAATACTGGCGTTAAGTTTTTCAGAACATGTGGCAAATCGTAATGAAAAAAACTCAATAAAAAAAGGGTTTTAAGGTTGAACTACCTTTAAAAAATTCAGAAAAATAAATACCAACAAAATTTTCTTATTTGAATCTAAGTTAATTGATAAAAAATATAAAGATCTATGTAAAACTGAAGAAAGTCTGATAACTGATTTTCAAATTTACGATAAATTTTTGGAAAGTGGAGCTTCAAAAAAGAGATCGCGGGGCACGTGCCGCATTCTTACGCCGGCACTAACAACTAAAACATTAATTATATTACATATTGGTTTTATAAAAATATCTTAGGTCTAATTAAAATCCGACTTTTTATTTTACTTAAAATAATCTAAGCTAAAAATTTGGACTGGGTTACCTAAAAACATTTGTTTAAAACCCTAAGTTATAGTTTTTGTTCACTATATAAATATTGTTATCATTTTAACATGCATATATTAGTATTTAAATAAATAGTTTAAAGTCTAAAACAATATTTTGTTTATAGTATAATCAATATCTTAAAATCAGATAGATTAATTCGTAACAATAAATACATAGTAGTATATATTTATTGCAAAATTTCAATAATATAAAATTCATATTTTCATAACTCTTCTACCTTGTTACTTCTGATTTCTGGTGCAGATGGAGAATTTAATATTTATTTTAAAAAACATAATTATACAGCAATAATTATATCTTAATTTCTTGAGTTTTAGGGTTCTGTATTTTTCAAACTTCATAAAATACTTCAAAATATTACCTTATAATACTAGAAGCCTAAACACAAGATAAATTTTTTCATCCACTACTTTGTTTAATGATGTAGGCATCTATAAATGCCTAAATAAATCCAGGATACATGAAGTTAACACTATGAGCTAAAAAATTTCACTAAAATATATTAGGATCACATCAAAATTAAAAAAATTGGCATTAAGTTAATATTTGCAATAAAATCTTCCATTTTTATTCTCCGGCCATTGGGTGTCTTGAGGAGTTAAGTCTATATAAAATAACTATTTCTAATTATTTTGAAGTTTAACTTAAACAAATTTGAATAAAAATTTGGAAATTAGTTTATTTCCATATATATTATTCACTAAGTATTTGTTTAACATGCTAACTATAGTATCCTGAGTATGTTAAATAAATATCATTCATTAAAAATTCCAAGTAATCCACTAGGTGTCGAAGATAGTTCAGCCAGTCTAAATTAACCTGGATAAATAAACAATATATAAAAGTAATACGTTGAGAACTATTAAAAAAAAAATTAATTCAATTTTTTTTTTTTAATATATAAAAAATATAATTAATAATTGAAATTTATTTTATACTTAATCTAATAAAATTTAACATATTAAGTTAAATATGTTGTAGTTTTAATAATATTATACACCTAAAACTAAATTATTATTTAACGTTTAAATAGTAGCAATATTGTTTAATAATATTATTATAACTTTTACCTACATGTTTTTATTTTAACTTATATGGTATTACTACTATTAATAAAATTTTGTTTCATAAATATTAATAAAAACAACATAAGTTCTAAATTTTACACAGTTACATGTACACTCACAACTATTGACAAATACAAAGATTCTAACTGAATTTTCTAATTTTGACATTTAAAAATAGCTGTAATTTTTCCATTAAATTCTCATTTTGGATAAATCGAAATTTTATTTATGGGAATTTGAAGTAAATAGAAAATACTAATATTTATTTTCCTTTTAAAAACAGTTAAAATAGCATTAAAATTATTAAATAAATTGTATACAAGGATATTGACTAAAATTTTTCTATTGATATCATTGATATATTCATTATTATAACTTCATATTACTTTTAAAAAACTTAAAAATAAAGTTTTAAATATTACAAGAACCACCTTCATGAACTTTTAAATAAATTATATTGATGTATATATATAATAACTAATGCATTCAGTTTTTAGTCTTTACAAACAATTTATCATTGGCATGACATTATTGTTTAATTATGCTTGTCGTGAGAACAAATTTATATATACAAAATGACCCGTTTATTATAAACCATTTAATTATCCGCAAAATAATAACATAAAAATTTTTTTTTGGTTTTTTTTCCTTACATATATTTTTGATTTATCAGCAATTACTTTTTAACATCATTCCTTATAACTTAACATGATGTCAACTTAATTTGTTTTGAAGTAACATACATTCTTAATTAGTTTATGAAATAGAAAATCATGTAATGAAAAAGTTTTAAAATTTAAATTGGAAGAGAGGTGCGGGTATGACTTTAATAATTATATTTATAGCATTATATTACATGGCACACTCCCCTCTCAACCATATATAAAAATGCTAATAACTTTCAAGTATTGGCCCAAAAGTTGCTATTTACCTGCCATTTTCTAAATTAAATAATTTCTTATTTTATAAGCTAATAAAAAATGTATGTTGAAATTCAAAAAAATTAAGTTGACACCCCTATAAGTTATAATATAAGGTAAGATGTTAAAAAGTAATTATTGATAAATAATAAAAATATATTTAACAAAAAAAATCAACATTTTTTTTTTAATATTGTAATTATATTATCAGTTAGTTAACTGAATAATTTATGATTAACTGATCATCGTATAAATTTATATATATAGGGTATTCTTTAAACTGACATTTTGTTTAATTCAACATTGAATATTCATCAATTAGCTTTAAATAAAAAATCTTTTTTCAGATTTTTATTTCACGTCCTAGTCTTCTTCCTGTTTGCACATTAAATTTCCATATATATAAATATATTCCATAAATATACACACATAATATTGCATAAAATTATATATTATACATGAAAATGTATAGTGTATAAAATGAAAGATTGATGGAATGAAATACAAATTTGAAAAAAATTAGGTTTTTTAACTATTAGAGCCAATTGTTGACTATCCAACATCATTTTCTGTTTAAGAACTGCATTTATATTATATTATATTATATATATATATATTTATATTTATAATATATACAATTTTTAAAATATCCCTTATATATACAAAATATTATTTTTTTCAAAATATCAATAGCACAAATCAAAAGAAGACAGACTTTTTTAATCAATCCTAAGAAGTTCACTTATGAAAACACTTTACACCCCATTTAAAAAACATGGGAAATGGGATTTCTCTATAAAATCTTTAATTTATCAAAGTATATACATGTTTGTTTAAAATTATTTTTGCATATTCTAAGGTTAACATTTCTGCCACAAAATACAACTTTAATTTTCTTATCTATCTCAATTTTTTAAATATTTTAGCATTTCTCTGATAGTAAAAATTTTAACAAACCGAAAAATAAAACAAATTTAATGTTTTAGTTAAGTATTTAGTTGTAAAAACTATCAGCTTATAGAAAGTGCAAAATAATTTTAAACAATTTTTTTTAAAATCAACGATTTTATAAAAAAAAATCCCAATTTTATGTTATATAAATATAGAGAATATTTATCTTGAGCAACCTCTTAGGTTTAATAAAAAAGAAAGTTTTAACAATTTTTTTTTTGTCAGTCGAACGTATATATGTAAGGCTGTGACACCAAATATTGTCATTTTTAATAATATTTAATATGAGCAAATATTTTGTTATCGTTTTTGAAATAATTTTTTACACTAATAAATAATTTATTTAAAATTTTTTTTAAAAACACCTTTTGTTAAAAATAATGAAATTGATATAAAATTTTTTTTTAATTTTTGGAAATTTTAGAATAGCTTTTAGTTCTTTTCCTACAAAATTTTTTTTGAAAACCTGGTATATACATACAAAATGAGTATTTTTAATACTTTTATTTTAACAGTTGTAATATTTTTATTTGGATATGTTTTAACTTCAAATATAATAATATAATAACGTGGACATTCATAATTATTTAAATTATTTAAAATTTTAAATTGTAATAATCAAATAATCTATTATTAATTATCAAGCTAATTAATCATTCTTTTTTTATTAATTGACTGTATAGTTAAAAAAAATTTTAATTTTTTTTGTTCATAAATTATTTTAAATTACATTTTATTTGATCACTTTTATTTTTATATAACCCTTACAGATTTCATAATATGAAATATTTATAATTAATTTTAAAAATCAAATAATTTTTTTAAATATCTTAACATGTTTGCCACAGTTTATTAATTTTAAAATTCTTTAAATTTCCTAACATTTCCCATGTGGGAAGCAACACAAATAAAAGGTCTCTCAAATAAACCCCCTACCCAGTAATGCAATTTAGTACAGTAATTAATAATTGTAGAAAAACTTTGCATAACACACTTAATTCTTCAAATAAAGCACGAAAAATGAATAAAAATGTATACACATGAAAATAGTGAGCTGTGTTGTTAGATCTAGGCTGTCAGCATCCCAGTCCCTCTCTGCAGAACAGTCTTGTCAAAGTTCAATGTACTTTAATTAAATTCCCTGATATTCTAGGATTCCCCGTTTAAAAAAATATTTCTTTGATTTTACAGATTTGCGGCAACTATGTTTAGATAAAACAAAAATATGATAAAGTTAAGAGAAATCCAAATAACACACTTAGAGAAATTAATATATTTGTATTACTTTTTTTAACCATTTAGATAAAAACTTAAGTGCAAAACATCTTAAACTATATAAAAAAAAGTAATAATGATAATAATGATTTAACACTTACCGAAGTGTAATTTTTCTTCTTTAATTAGTCAATACTTTGAATATGCAGTGAATAATGAAATTTTATTAATGAATTGATTTTATAAGAGAAATATACCTCAACACGAATCAACCTTAATTGTGTGTATATTGTTTTTTAAATATGCATGAACTGTTCATTGAAATATTATGTTTTTACATTAAAATTATCTTAAAGATAATAACAACTTAGTAACCAATTAGTTAAAATTTTTTCATTAAAACTTACATCTTACAAAAAAATTGCAAAGAACCCTTGGGCAACTACATTTTTTTTCTTCTAATAAACATTTAAATTTTATAATAGAAACTTATCAATTAAGTGTTCATAAAATTAATAATTCTAATTAAAATACAATTACTAATTTCTGACTCCAAAAAATGAACAACACATAAAAAACAATATACACACATTATACTATATAAATTAACTAAATGTATTCAAATACATCTGGAATAATTCTGAAATAAAGCTTTAAAAAAATTAATAAAATGTAAAAATTAACATCCTAATTTTTGGTATTGGTTAATAAATTATTAAAATATTCAAATTAATTAAATGACTATCTTAGTACAAAAAAATAATTTAAAAAAATTTAGTCACATTTAGGTCTATACTCGGTTAGATACTATAAAAACTCTATCGAAATTTTGTATTTTTTCTGTGATCAAAGGCTTATCTTAGGATAAAATAAAGATTGATCTCCTCCATTATAAGAACAATTATAAATTAAAAATATAAAAGACATTAAAACATTTATCTATAATTTTCTCCTTTAAAAAAATCTTGAACAGACCACTTATTATAACAAGGTATTAAGCAAATAATTTTAAGAAATAAATAGCAGATACGTTATATGCCAACACTACTTCAATCAAAAAACAGTCAGTTTTAAGGTATAATTATATACAAATAACGATTAATTGTTCAAATTTATGATCACCACACTAGATACCAAAAAAAAAGATGTATTTAAAAAAAATAAAAAATTTAATCTTACGCGGTGGTCTTTTAACATCTGTGGGAGAAGAACTTTTAAGTTTCTTTTCATTAGGCGATTCAGAAGGTGGTGATAAGCTTCTCTTTTCTGATTTTGACACAGTTAATGGGGATAAATTTTTTGATACCTTTTTCGATTGCAATTTTGACTTTGGTGGTGGTGGCGGTTGTTCTTCAAGACCAGTACTTCTAAATTTTGATTTAAAAGTTTTAACTGTTGGTTTTTTTTCTCCGATATATTCTTTTTTTTCTACGTGTATAGAATAATTCTTTTTTTCTAAAACAGTTTTAGATTCTGGTAATTTGGGCTTTGGGGCAGGTACAGGTAAAGGTTTCAGTTCTTTTTTTGAATCACATATACTTTTATTTTCATTGAATAAAAGTTTTTCTTCTGATAATTTAACTTTCATAAATTTCTCTCCACTAGAAAGAATTTTTAAATTTTGTTTTCTTCTGCTGTTAGAATTTTTAGATGAGTTTGAGCTATCACTTTCACAAATTTTATCATCATCAGATTTTTCTGAAGACATTTCATTAATTATTTTCAAAAATGGATTACCATTTTTATCAGTAGTTTTACGTTTTTTTTCATCTAATTCATCTTTTTTAAACTTTTTTTCTTGATCATCTTTAGATTTATTATTTAAGCTAGATTTTTCTTTTTTTATTTTTAGTTTTTCAACTTCATTTTTTTTAATTTTATCATTTTTAATTTTGTTATTATGATTATCTATTTTACAATCTATAGGATTACTAGATTCATTCTTAGACAAATTTTGTTCTTTTACAATATTTTCAGGCGTAGAAAGTGATCCTGAAACATCAGATTTTGATTGATTATCTTTATCTTTCATCATACTATTCCACTGCTCAGTTCTTACTACATTCAACCATTTTTCAACTAATTGTTCAGCTAGCAATTTAATTTCTAAAAAAGTTAAATTGTAAAAACGATTAGTAACAATGTTCTACTACTTGGAGTCTAAATATATAGTAGTTATTAATTAAATGTCTAAAATTAAGACAAAAAAATTACTAATAAATTAGTATTTTTACTAAAATTATTAAGTAAATATTAAAAATATTTACTTACGAGGATTTACATGAGATTTTGATAATTTTTTAACCAATTTTGGAACACCATTAGCTTTTAATCGTTCCATTGTAACAGGCACTCTATGGTATATTGATAATAAGTCTTGAATCAACACTGAATTATCAGTTTCAATGGCATCTTTCAACCAACCATATATCAAGCTCCAACCACCAGCATCCATAAATCTAGATTTAAAATTTATAATTAAGTTTTTAACTCAAAAGACTTTGTAATGCTCTGTAAATTTGCTTCAAAGAAAATAAAACAAATTTATTCATCTATATTAGATTGACAAAAAAAAATTATTCAGAACTATTAAAAGTAATGATAAAAACAATATCCTATTTGAAATTAAAATTCTCTAACTGCAACATATATTTTTCAGGTAATATATAAAGAAGATGCCAGGTATATGCTGTTTCATAGGAAAAACCTGACAAACCCACTTTGATTGGTTCATAATCAATCAAAATATGAGAAAAAAATCAGCAATGAATTTCTAAGAAGAACTCCATTGAAAGTAGTGACTAGAAAACTATTTCTAGTGCAGAAAATAATAAATCATTTTTCTTTTTAATGAATGAGAAGTAATTCAGATCAAATAAAATTAAGTTAATCAAAATTAAATAAAAGCAACTTAAAAACTAAAAAAATTATAACCTTGAAATTGGAGATGTCATTTCAATAATAAAAAAAATGGGAAATTGAGTTATATAAAAATATTGTTTAAGATAATTTAGCATTTTTGAAAAACTCAATATGGGGGAATTTGAAGCTAATTGAATATGAAGGGCAAAATAAAAATTAAGCTTAAAAAAGTAACTAATTGTATTTATAAAATCAAATTTGATTACATGTATGTTCTTAATTAAAAATGATATTTCCTTATAAAATAAGTTATGTAGTAACTAATATGACTAATCAAACCTTAAGGTATCAATTTTATCCCACATCCTTCAAAGAAATTAAATTAATTTTTATTTACAGAAAATACTGGGTACATGATTTCATACTTTTAATTTAATTTTTTTTACATAAATTTTAATATACAGAGTGTTTAGTAAGTCAGGAAACGGGTTTCTATTGTTCTCATTGTTACAGACAATGAGAACAATAGAAACCCGTTTCCTGACTTACTGAACACCCTGTATAACACAAATTTTACCACCCAAAATAATTCTTAACTTTGTCATAATCTCCAGTATAATAAAAATAAAGATTTTAGTTTAACTTTAAATTTTAGACAAATCAACTAAGTATACAATTTTGTTTACCAAATCAATCATATTACAAAAAACCAAAAACTTGGTATTTTAATCAAATTTGAATTAACGTTAATAAAAATTATACATATACATATATGATATATAGATATAAAGATCTATTAAAAGTAAAACCGAAACTAAAATTAGTTTTAGTTTTTACTAAAAGTAAAACTTACATTAATAGAAGGTCTGATGTAGACTCTTTTAAAATAAAAACATAAAGACTTTTGCTGACAATTTTTTTTGAAAACTTTCCCATTAATCTAAAAAAAAAAATTAAAATAATAAAAATGATATTTTATCAATACAAATTGATTATTTCTAATATTATACTGACTAAGAAAAAAAAAAATTGATTTTCAATATTAACAATAAAATTGTAGTTAATTTTAAGGAATAAATTCTTTTTAATTTACAATTTGTATTTAACCAACACTGGGTTAATTAAGTTTTCTATTGTCTACCATTAAACATTGTTTTTAATAAAGAATGTTTATTTTATTTCAATATGATTAAAACACATGAAATCTATCCAATAAATAAAGCTATTGCTTGTGTTAGGGGTTGGTGATTTCAAAAATAACTATTACAAGAATAAACAAATATTAAATGTATATTGAAAATAACAAAAATAAATAAATATTAAATAGTATTGATACCAGTATAACCCTAATATATATTATCATTAATCATGTTTAATGTTTAAAGACAAGATAGGAAAACCTACATAATTGAAACATTGTACATATGTACTAAGTCATGACACGTTACCGACTGAGATAAATAGGCAACCTAATAGTAAAATACATAATTTTTGATATTATTACCATATTTTAACATTTCATAAGAGTAAACTGATGACATTGTAATGGCATCATTATTTATAGCTGACCGCCTAAAAATTGTTTCTTTTATATACCCTGTTATGCTTTTTATACAAACGGCTTTTTTAAAATAATAACAGTAATAAAAGATAATTGCCAAGGTATAATAACACTATGAATTAAAAGCTACATATAAAAAAAAATACATTCCCAAAAAAATACGTGCTGGTATTTTTATCAATGCTACTATATAACATTTTTCTTAGAAAAGTTTTGAAAAATAGCCTTAATTCAATCTCCTTCCCACAAAATAATCCTAAAACTCTGGCTATATGGCCAATTTTAACGCCACTTACTAAAAATTTCTTATGATAAAAAAACGTTAATATTTTTGAATACTGAAAAAATTTGTTATATAGTAAAAAAAAAACACTAAATATTGAATAGAACATACAATATTAATAGAAAAGATTACTTATTTACTTAATTGTATAATTAGTTTGATTATTTCTATTATTACATTGCAATTTTTATTTTAAGTCGAAAAGTCCTTCTTTAAATTAGAATATACTTAAAAAATAAGGATTTTGGGTATAGAAAACATAGCTCTTGATAGTCCAGGTTAATTTAAAATAACTTCCCTTTTTTTTAGTAAAAAATTTTCTACTGTCATTTTTTAATTTGAAATTTACAAATTTAATGGTTTGTTAATTAACTATATCCTTGAAATTAAAAATTGTGTTAAAGAAAATGTTAAAGCTACTTACTCTATTAAGATTGTCAAATTGTTTCTTTTTAAATATTAATTTTTTTTTTTTTTTGTTTTAAGAGGTTCTAAAATTAATATTTTTTATTGTATGTGTTTAGAATTAAATTTTACAAAATAAGATCAAACAAACAATTTGACCTATTAATTTGATTGAGTTTAACAATAAACTTAGATTGGCTTTATTTATGTAGTCTAAAATGATGAAAATTTTAAACCATGCTTCTATTCAACATTTTTTTCTTATTTTTAATCTATACTCAATACTAAAAAAATATAAATACACAGTAAAATAAACGTATATCAAAATGCATTATATATGTATTCACCAATTAAGTGCAAGTCACTTAAGGAAAATATGAAAGAAGCGATTCTTGTTGCAATTAATCACTACTTAATATACATTTTTTATACCTTTAATTTAATACATCTTACTAAAATTCTTCCCTAATACAGTTATATCCAATATATATTAAAAATAATCAATACAAGATGCATAACTTACCTAGATATTTGGACTGCTTCTGCTGAACCTTTGAGCCCACCAGTTTCTTCATTTAATAATACTCTAAGGCAATTTAATAATTGCATTGGATCAATTGGAGGCTAAAAAATATAAAATTTTAGATATCATTAAATAATTAATTGAATTTTTGTGTTTTAAAAGTTTTAGAATTGGTATTTCAATACAAACGCCTATTAATTAGGTTAAATTTTAAAAATCTAAAAAAAAAAGTATTTGTTAAATTTATAATATAAGAGTCCAAAACCTCTTTTTGTTACTAACCATTCAAAATAGGAAAAAAATTTGTACTTAAAAAATTTAAAATCATTTAATATGAACTTGAATGAAAATAAATATTTGACTTATGGATTTAGTTAAAGACTGATTTCATTAATGTTTCAAATGAATGAAGCTGTTTATTAGAAATTAAATATTTAATTTGAAAAATACAAGCAGATTTTAACTCTCAAAGAAATATGAAATTGAACAAATGCAAATATGAAATAAAATAAAATATATGAATATACAAGTAATTTAGTCATATAAATTAGGACAATACATTAGAAAAAAATGTTTGAATAAAATTAATCAATTCTGGACATTATTTAAAAAAATTACTTTTAACTAAAAAATTAAGGTTTGATTATTTGAAATAGAATAAAATGATAATTCTTTATTATTTCATATTTAATAACCCCATATATAAAACATTTTTGGAAGAAAAATTTAACATCAAGATATTAAAAAAAGGGAAAAATTCTATATAAGAACTCTGTATTTATAATATTAACATGTTGATGGACAGTTAATGACATGGTTTAGCTAAAAATAGTGCCCACTGGTTTTATGAGATGCATGGGCTCAGAACAACTTCCTCCTTCATAAAAAATCATTAAAAATATTACTGCTATATCAGTAATGAAATTTTTAAATTAGATTTTATACCACTGTTATAGCAGTAATATTGAAGTGACACCAGACGTCAAATTTTAATATTACTGTCATAACAGTAATATACGATTTTGTCCATCAAATCAACATGTTAAATTAAAATATTACATTCCAAAATAATATTTAGAAGTTATTTATCGAAAAATTATACTTCACAATTTCTACAAAAGTTCTACCAAATGTCTTATGAAATAGCAAACTTTAAAAAAAAAATTATTAGAATATGTCATATATAATACATGTATCTATTTTTGTATTAATTAAAGGGTTTAATTCTTAGGTGTGCATATTCAATGCCAGTTAATTACATAATTATAACATAAATGAATTTATTCAACATTTCATTAGTCTTTCTCAATAAACAAATTTTAAGTTATAAATAATATTTTACCAACTAAATTACAATTTATTTTAAATATTTGAAAAAAAAATAAATAATAATAAATTAAAGGAACACAACTAATTAGTACTTTAATTGTTAATAACAAAAAAAGTACTTTATTTGTAACAAACACAACAATAAATGTTAGGCATGACACCACCATAAAGCTGTAAATTAAATACATGTTATTGAGAATTGATTTCTTTAAAAATACTTATCCTTCTACAATCACAAATTTTGTCCCAACAAATGAATTTGTAATATATTTTTTTTAAATACATCTGTCGAGAAAGAGATTCATATAGTTACTTTTTTTAAATAATTTACCATTAGAATATATATTTGAAAATTAATACTGGTCAATATGCAAATAGCAAGTTCACAAATAATTAAAAAATTTAATTTAATATTTTATATAAATTTACTTTTAACTTATATTTATTTATTCTCAAATTTCAAACACTTCAATAAAAAAAACTTAACTAAGCAACTCCAATTACATTTAATCAAAACTGCACATTCAAAAAAAATTATTATAAATAAATATATCAAAATTTGTCGAGTTAAATTGAAAATAGATTTTTAATAAGAAACGATATACGTCTCAACATTTAAAATGTCTAATAGATTTTTAATTTTTGAAACATTGCATTATGTCATTCAGTAAAAATAAATTTTTTTTTATTATACAAATATTACTAGTAACCATAGATTATTGATAGCCATTCAATAGGGCGTATGTATTGAAACCAAGGTCAAATATAGGTCAGATCGTTACCTACTAACTTACCATTTTGTTTAAAATCGCTGTTAAGCTATTATATAAAACAAATTATAATAACGTTGTTGGGAATCGTGATATTATCTATTGTTCATGTCACACATAGCACAAAATGAGACATAATTAATCTTCAGTACACAAGAAGGCGAACATAATATTTCTTTATTTAATTGTAGATTGCTCTTGGCCTTTCTCGTTTAACATAGAAAATATGGCGACAACCAGCTAACGTAATATCTTGATTCTTCAACACTGCTATCTTAAGTTGTTGACTTTGAAACACGAGTTTTTTGATAAAATTATTATATATTTATGTACGTGTGCATATATATATATATATATATATATACTAAGTTATGTAAGTTAAATAATAGTTATTACATACACTTTTAAGTATGTATACATATAACATGTATCTATATATAAAATATATATTTGTCTTGCAACACACAAACTTAATAACAAATAAGATACTCGGGACTTAATTTAATAAACGCAGCGTCAATGAGCTTAAATACATAAATTTATAGCAAATCACAACAGATGTCGATGGCTTCTATAATCTATCGCGATATGCGGTTAACGGATTACGAAAAGCGAATACTGGAAAACTTGAGTTTCATGATACCTAAATGATATAAAAAAATAACTATTACTTCCGATACACGATAATAAATTCGTTTACACCAGACACCAACTTATATATTAATCTATTTACCTATAAACAGATATCACATTAATTGAATATTATCAAACACCTAAAAATATCGAATAAAAAAAAGTGAGTACAAGTACAGGGGTAAGAAAGCATTCATAAAATGAGTAGAATAACATAAAATAAACTAGCATACGTCCTAGTAAATGACGCGGCGCGTTTCTACAAACTGTAAAATAAAACAGAATAAATCTCTTTTGACATGCGCAGCTGTCCATATTTGGTTTGATTTGATTTAATCATTACAACCAATGAGAAACGTAGCTTATAAATTATTAAATATACAATGAATAACCGGGTAATTGGTACCATAAAAGTACCAACATACTTAAATTAAATCGTAACACGTCATAAATTGAAATTGTACTTATATTCATTAAGAGATAGCGCTTTTTCGTCATCCGCTACACAATTCATTTACAATTTTGGACATTTAACAATAAAACTATAATTTTAACTCTATTTCTGAAGTGTTGTGAGAAAAAAATGAAGAAAAATTTACCCATTTGTAGGGTTTATAAGGTTATTTAAATACTATAAGTATTACAAAAATAACATTATTAGAGAACACTAATTTTAAAAATTAAATTCCCTTGACAAAAATTAACAGTGATTATTATTATTATATTATATTATTAACCACCTTAAACTTAATTATTCTGAATTTATATTCTTATTTAAAGGTACTAGGAATTTAAATATTGAATAAGGAATTTTAATTGAGATACTGCTTGACTTCTCCTTTATAGACTCAATACAAAACGTTAATGTAAGGTACTAGTTAGCAAAAGGGTCACTGTTTCCAAGATATTGTATAAATTATTAGAAACGCCCGAGGATGCTTAAGTTGTGGGTGCCATTGATTTAGTAATAGTATGTGAACATTACATTAAAATCAGTAATATATACCTCAGTTTTCTGTATTGTTATTTTAAATAAAATTGATTAACCATAGTAGCCTATTATATTATATTATTATTAGAATTATAAGAACCATACCCTCTATGTATTCTTTCAAAACTACTCCTGTCATTACCAACAAATCCATTCATATCACCACCCAACACCACAACTACCATTCATCATTCTTCAACACTTCCTTTTCTATTTCATTACATCCTACTTGTACTATATTTTACACTTTTTCCTCAAAAATTAATTTTACGACAATAATTGTGTCACTTTTCCTAACTACTTCTACTACATTACTTTTCATTAATATCCCTAGATCATACATTAATTATTAACTTTACTCCTCTTCAATATTTCTACTAATTCTCTACTTTTACCAGTTAATGATCCAGCATTTCACGTACCTATTCTTACTTTGAATCTATCTTTCTCACCTATACATAAGTCATACATAGATATGAGTAATGATGCCCCTACACCGTTGACACTACAAGCATTGGTAGGCTTGTACACATAAAACAGCTACCGCACAAGTTGTCCAGCTAGTATCAAAGACTTTATTCTTTAAGCCTTCTCTATCACTAAATACTTTATTTCCTCTCGCCTGTTATCCTCGCGTACAGTACATTGGGACAATCCGCTTATGTTTTGTTTAGGACTCCTCATACTTTATGACACAATTTTACACTAGCTGTCACATCTTCATTAGTCGTCTCTTAAGACAAACAGAGGGGCTGTGGAGGTATTCATATCCCCTTCCACGAGTAACTATTGTGCTATTGTAAACTGTAATTAAAATATATATAAATAAGCCACAAAGGATACATTTGTGGCAGTTTAATTTTTATCATGAAAGAACGATACGCTGGACGCCACGAGTATACTCATAAATTTTGAGTTCTCCTTTTAGTTAAACTATAAGCGGTAAAAATTTTTTTAAATAGTTATAAAACAAATGTTTGTGCATTATTAAATAACAATTGTTACACACGTTAATGACATTTCATGAAATTATTAAAGATTTTAACTTTTTTTAATTTTGAATAAAATCCGTTGAAATTTCATTTAAAGTTAATTTTAATATTTTACTAAGAATTCTTAATAGAACTTTAACATAAAATATTGTATACAGTACCAAACTAAAATATTGTTTTATAAATTATTACTTTTCAATAAGTTATAGCATTATAATGTTAAAAATGTAAAAAATTAAATAGAGAATTTTCACACAATAATAGCATTTGGTAGCCATTTTCACCTTGAAGATAAAATAAAGTCCGAAATTTTTTTTTTCCATGATAAAGTATATTACATTAGCTTTAATTTAAGATATATATAAAAGTGTCAGACTTTCCGGAACACTTTCAAAATTTAAGTTGAAAAAGTCAATTTTTTGTGAAAAAGTTGTCATTTTGAATCCCCCCCTGTAGGCAGGTAAAAAGTCAGATTTATAAAAAAAATATACCAAATGATAGGTAAAGACATCATGCATCTA